TAACAACATTGTCCAAAGAGCTAATGCCAATGCCACTTTGTAAGGCTTCTATAACTACTAGCAACAGAATTAATTAGATAAACTACTACACTGCAGAGAACATACTATGCCTTGCTTCCAATGAGACAAACAATTTATATCAGAACAGGTAACAACAAATAACAAAACACGCCTGGCTTCAATGAGACAAGCAACTTGTGTTGGGACAGGCAGACAATTGTTTTCACACTGCTCTCAATAAATACATGTATACATCAAAACGAGCATAGGCCCATAAATTTAAACTTCATGGGTAAGCATAAAGTATTGTATTCTTGATTACTACAGTACAAATTTTCAAGCCAGCAGTTATGCCTTGGATAGATGCTCAGGACTCACTAAATCTTCCTAGCTTGGTTTCTATACAGCTATGACTAACAAACCAATGCTAGTCCATGCAAATTTGTGAGCAGCTTTCAGGAATCAGACTAGTCAAATTCACATCAAGTTTAATTCAGATTAAAATTTGAAGGAACAATTAAATTTTTATCTATCTAAACCCAGAACCATAGAGAATAAAGGTTGCTTCTTCCGCCCTCCCCCAAACCAAAACAAACAGAAAAACAAGGTTCCATTTTTCTGGAATGATTTCTAGTGTGTGTAATTCGTATAGAGAGCTGTGCCAATGTTGGATAAACTTAAAACCATTAAGCCACGACATGCCACAAGTTATCATGTGTTGCAATGTCAATTTTCATTTTTGTGGAGCTTTAATGACAATATCTTTAGAATCTTTGAATGCACTATTACACTAGTATCCAAGGGCATAAATCTGCACACAGTCGGCAAATAATCCTCCTAAAAAGTGCTAAAAATGCAACTCAAATCCATTAAAGTTCAGCATAAAAAATATTTTTAATAGTACAACACAATTGCAGGTAAGTGGACTATAAAAACAGCTGCACGTAATCTCAATTTCACTCAAAACAATTAAAAGTTAGCTCTTTAAGAAGTCAAAGATCCAGTAATGATTAATCCTAACAAAGTGATCACGCCAGCCAAGCCCACGGCTCATGGTCTACTAAACATGTACAAACAGAATAACATACAAATTCAACATCTAATAGCACTATCTCAAGTTAAACATCAGGCACTTCCATCCACCTCAAAAGATTCAAATCATACAAATTCGGAAAAAAAAAATTGCAAAAAACAAGACTGCACAAACTATATTTACTGAAATCAAACAGCTGAATGACAAATAAACTTTGAAATTAAAACCGAGAAATTCAAAAACAGATCCAATAAAGAAAATTTTACCTTTATAATCCTCCTTCTCAGAAACAACCCATCTCCCCTCGATTGCCTCCTCAAACGACTCGTAAAATTCCTGAAAAAATAAACAAGAAAGCTGTTACACAGAAAAATTCATACTTCCAAACCAGATCCAATGCTAGAACCTCAAAAAACTCAATCATACATTCACATATTCAACACTTACAGAATTAGACGACGCCTTGAGCTGCGAGAAAAAGCATCCGACAACAAGCATCAGCAGCAAATACCGCAGATTAGGTTTTCGCTTCATTCTTTCCATTATTTACCACCAAATTTCCAAAAAAAATTCTCAGGAAAAAGAAAAGAACTCAATAACGAAATTCGAAATTAATGCCGAGCCGATCGATTATTACGGGTTGAAGAGAAAAATAAAGAGAAGGAGATGAGAAGAAGTCTCCAGAAGCTCTGTATCCTGGCCTAGAGAGAGCAAAAGTGAGAGCTTCGAATGATAATTAGGAAAAAAAAAGAATGATATTTAGGAGATTTTTAGTTTATATCTAAATATATATACGTAGATCGTGGAAAGCACGGAGGCTCAGTGGTTTCAGCCAATGATATTTGGAGCCACGTGAGGTGGGCGAATGAAAAAATGACACGTAATTAGTAGTGACGAGATTAGTAGTCGTGATGCAGTGGAATTAGATCCACCGTTGGAAATGGGTTGATCCGACCAATGTGTAGGGCCACTGTTTTTAGCTTGCTTGACTTGATCTTTTCTGGTGAGAACAGAACATTCCTACTTTTTTTTTTTTTTTTTTTTTCGACACTGGGGTGTCCGGGTCAAGACCCGAAGGCGGCCCGACTAATCCCAGCGGCCCGAGAGGAGAGGCCCCATCCCCTCAAGCACGGTAACCCTGCACGACTCGAACCCTGGCAAACGCTCCTAAGGAGGCGTGCGTTGCCAGACGAGCTGCCCAGGAGGGGCTAGAACATTCCTACTTACTCCTTCAAGAAATGTATAATTCCCCTTTTCAGCCACAAAATAAAAAAAAAAGTATGATTTGTCACCCAAAGAAGGAAGGATTAAATTCAACAAATGTAGGGTTGGTGACAAGTCGAGTTGAGATTGAGTAGTGCTCGTACTCAAGTTCAAATTCATTGAATTTCTAAGCTATTTGAGCTTCAGCTCTACACGATCGAGTAAGAGAACTTGTAACTTGACTTGATTCATAAGGATAATATGTAAACTCAAACTCGACTTGATAAAACTCGATTTTCTTCTTGAGCCTTATCGAGTTTGAATACTCTAACAAAACTCAAATTTTGTGTAAATATAAATACATAGCGGTCATTTTATAACTAAAAGAAATATATTACAAGAGAACTCAAACTCGCGCAACTTGAGATTTGTAATAATTGAAGAAGTAGCTCGAACTTGAGCCACTCATGAACAGCTTGCGACCGGCTCGACTCGCTAGCACCTGTAATCGTTCCTGAAGAAATTCCAATTTCCCAATAATTAAAAAGAAGTAATATGACCTCATAGAAAGTCACAATGAATGAACGAATAACACCTTAAACCCACAATCCCATCCATGATTAAAACATTCTAGCGTATATTTCTTGCTGATATAATTTGAGAGTCTGTAATACTCGGCGAGTCTCTTTTATAAGGTTCAATTTGTAATAGGTGGAGTTAGATATATCTTTTTTAAGATTATAATAAGGTTCTTTTACTTTTTTTTTTTAAAATTTCTTTGACAAAATCTAGTCTTTATATTTAAGGTAAATAGTACTGTCACATGCATATTGAACAACAAATTTTTGGGCCCTCGAAAAGTATTCGTACATAATATTGGTGTAACATCTCACTTTGCTGATCTAGAATCATTCTGCTTAGACATGTTACAAAAAAAAAAAAAAATTTTAAGCAGCATGAGTACTGAGGATCTGTTTGATAACATAAAAAAATGCTCGGCAGTCTGGTGGGCTTTTTATCCTGTCTGTCACTAGTACTGGTGTCCATTTGATTATTTAGTTATTATTCTCTAACGAATGGAAGCACGCCACTGATTTGATAAAGATGGAACTTTTCCACGGCTTCACCTGAAAGAGGAATAGAATGATTACGATTTACAAAAGCCTTGAGAAAGCTTTTTACATGATTAAGCACGAATTGTTGAATCCAACCACAACTAATCCAACAACTATGCTTGTAAATTGAATTTTCTTAATCGAGACTAATTATCAACATGAAATTGACTGAGTCAACATTTCCTATCAACTTGATCATACTTAACCTATATATGTCTATCTTGGCCCTGTGTTAACGAGAAAGAATTTATGAAAACTTTCTCTTAATTGTAAAGTTATCTCGGCAGCAATTGATGATTCCTAGCCAATCCGACACGACACAACTGAGTGGAAAAATGTTGCTTCAAAGATTGACAAATGTTCTTAGAGAAAATGACATGTTTCATCTCTCACATTTCACAAAAATATTCTTTTCGTCCCTCACTTTTAAAATGAAGCAATTTCATCCCTGACATTTAAAAATTAAAGTTATTATATCCCTAAACCTAATTTTCAATCTGAATCAAACCATCCAATAATCCAATAATAAATTTCGGAGATAGAATTGATAGGTCACTCGGTCAATTTCATCATATTCATATGACATTTATCAAACCAAAAAAATAAATATTATAACATGAAGGCCATTATTTGTTTTGGAATAGTCGGGTTTTTCTTTTGGGTAAATCTTTTCATGCACCGTTAGTATATTCGCTTGCGAGTCTAAATGTGTATCATAAATACAAAATTTGGTGTTTAAATTTAAATTGAAACGATATGGTAGGTACATAAAACTATCAGTGTATACAATATTGACAATGTAGGAATTCAAGTTGAGTTATATTCAAGTTAAGTTAACCAAGTGATCTACCAATTATACCTCCAAAATTTGTAATCAGGTTGATAGGTGGTTTGATTCAGATTGAAAATTGAGTTCAATGATGTAATAGCTTTAATTTTTAAATGTCAAGGACGAAATTGCTTCATTTTAAAAGTGAGGAACGAAAAGAATATTTTTGTGAAATGTAAGGGATGAAACAGGTCATTTTCCCATGTTCTTAATACTACACCAAATGTGGGATTTGATGCCCTCTTTTGTGAAAGACGGAGGACATCCATTATCCATTGCCTGCCGTAAAAGGAATTTGAATTTCCTTGGTCGGATCGAGGAGGCTGGCATGGCCAAACACCAATCAACACATTTACAGTTTCTTTCGTTTTTATAAATGTAAGATAGGATGATTTGTAGTAGATTATGAGTAGAATTATAAGGATTGAAGACAATAACCAGAAGATGACAAGCGGATAATCCATTTACTTCCCTTGACATTTTGCATCCATCTTATATCTTTATACTATAAGGAGGAGGCGAATTTATCCTCGTTAACAGGGATAAACTAGAAGAGCGGCCTACTCAATGGACCGTGCAGGGTTGTATCCAGGATCGTGCTTGCGCGGGCGCGTGCGCACACACATATATGTATATATGTCGCCCTGATCTGTACTAGTGATCTCCAATAACATATATAAATGCAAAAGGAAATTTATCCAAATAATTTGATAAGGTTATAGTAGATAAGCGCGCTAATTTCATTTTATAATTTCATGGCACGTTTCAGGTGACAACAACATGAACAAACCCTAGTAACTCTAGTGATTTATACTAAGCGTGGGTAAATTACTTCTCCAAGTTCCATTCATTTTTTTTTTTAGGTTTTCCAACGATAACATTTTATTTAAAAACCGAAAGCTGTTGCTAATTTGGAGCAACTGCCCCTACATCTGCTCTAGCTAAAGTAACTAACCAGAGAGGGAAGAAGTCCTTCTACTTAATTTCACTAATCAAGTTAACGACATACTTTCTCAACTTGTGACTAACATGATGGTTACCCTCTCTTCGAACAAAAGAGAAGTAACACTCTCTAAATTCCCTCTGCAGCACCTGAATATCCAATCTTTGGGTCAGCAGTGTTTCCCAATATAATTCTCTCCACTGCTACTTTACAATCTGTCTGAATCTCCACCCTTCCAACTTTGCTTTAGCCAGTGCAATCCTGATTGCCATTGTTTCTTCAATCAGAGGTTCACAGTTGCGTTGTTCAGGACCTGCCCAAGCACATTTGGTCTCCAAGTTCCATTCGAACACAGGTTTGGTAACTTTTTTCTTGGAAAAATAATTCCTAAGTCGCCTTAAAATTTCAAGGGTCAAAAACTTTTACTACTTCCTCAGTATATATTCACAACTAAATTCAAAGAAGCCCATACGATATTAATAATAGCACTTGTTCTCCAAACGAATTGCTAGCTGTGCTTAAATAAATGAACTACCTAGCTAATTTAATCTCTCAAGACGTTGCACAACGTCGGATCTATTTTTCGCACAATTTTGCCGAATCCATTTATGGTCCAATCAACAGGATTACAGTCTTGAAAGCAATTTTTCCAAGAGACAACCAAAAAAAATTTAACTCATGAAGGCCTTGTTCTCCTTTGCTCTAAATTTTGCAAAATTTGATTATGGAAGTGATAATACCAAATAATCAAAATCAGTTAAAGTTAGTCTTTAATAGATTATGGATTTTAGTTTTTATGATAATTAAAAAATTTATAATCTAACTACGAAAGCAAAAAAAAAAAAAAAAAAAATGCTGAATCAAAATTTATAATCCGTTAAAATAATCAACTGAGAATAAACCCAAAGTTTTTGATACTCGAATACTATACATGAAGCAACAAGTTGTGGTTTTATTACATTAACTTCTTAGTACTTGCTCACAATTCTAAATGGGACTTACTGGTTACGTTTTTCTTTATTTCCTGTTTCATGTACAAATAATAAAACACTTATTTTTCCTTTTCCTTTTTGTTTTCAGCTATATAAAGTACATGCTTTAAGTGGAAACTATATACGGGATTCTATGTTGCTTGTGAAATTAAACTCTTTTTTAGCTGTTAGTGGCTGAGTGGACAATTTAGCCATGCAATGGAAGGTACTTCTTCACAAATTTACGTACTCATAATTCTAATTTTCTTTTCCTCAGGAAATAATTATAAAATAAATTCTGAGAGTAAGTAGATACCACTATAGGCTGATTATTTAAGAAATCAGAAACAGGTTGCAAATGGAATGGCATCAGCACCTTATGATATTTCTATACGTTATTGCACCATATTGGGTTTCCAAATGATGGATAACCAAAGGATTTGGACTGATGATTTCAGTTTTATGAAGAAAAAAAAAGTTGTTAATTCGTCCTATCCTTCCGGGTTATATCATATATGGTGAAATCGGTTGTTGTGTAAGATATAAAACGGCAGAAAATTAGACTTACTTCTAGAATGATGAGCCACGTACATGTGCAATTTTTTTTCTATTTTGTCTTAATATGATAAGAGGGCATAGTTAGTCTACCTTAAATATGTAAGATCAGAGACCAAAGAAGTACGTAATTGCTCCTGAAAAGAACTAAAAAAAAAAAAGTAAAAGAAAGAAAAACTTGAATACAAAAGATAATAAAAATTGAATACCTTCAATATATGGGCTTCCTGCAACTGCTTCCTCCAAAGGCTGTGATAAAATGGTGCAGATCTTCATATACACAAGTCAACATTAGAAGTACTTCTTCTAAAACTAATTCTGATTCTTGAGAGTTTTTGGGAGCGCAGCATGCCCAGATGATCATGGTTTCGAGTAATTAATGTCTGGTTATATTAAAAACAAACTTTATAACTCATGACTTAGTCCAAAAATTGTACTATAGATCTCACACAAATTGAAAAGTTACGATCTTGGTGCGCAGCTAGTGTCACATTACCATCTGTTTTATCGTACACTGATGATGACCCCTATAGTAATATCACCGGATGGATGCAGCAGTGCAGCTCAAAACTATGAAGAAAATCAGCTTCTACTGAACCATCACCTCAACGTCTCCTACGTCAAGCGTCCAAGCCACCATTATTTAGTAAGCTAGACGGAGAGCCGTTGAGGGAGAGAGTTCAGAGAAAGCTGAGTTTCTGATCAATTTCCTGTCATCTTAATTAGCATAAACTCAAGAATGTGTTAGCTAGTTTCAAAATAATTTCTGACTTTTGATCACCAAAGACTTCTTGATAATCCATACATTAGTAGTAACTAACGCATGTTTTATTTGAAAATGAAAAAAAAAAAGAGAGGAAGAAGAGAGATGGGAGAAAAGGGTTTGAGCTACCTCCATATATATAGCATCTTGTGAACCTCATTGATTGAACGACGTAGAAAAATATGCCCCCTCCGGCTGCAGTTTCCTTGCTCTTTCCAACAAACTCCTTTGCAGTTTGAGTTCTAATTTTGTTTAGTAAATATTATATGAAAATACATGTGCTTCTGCTCCTCGCGTCACAGGGTACAAGAAATTCATGAAGCCAGGCAATATGCCCTTGATATTCCAGGCATGGTATGCAAGGAAAAAAATTAATAAAAACAAAGGCTTAGTGGCTTTCTTTATTAAAAGAACTAAACAAGACCTTGTTTTTCCATGGAGTAGTTTCAATGCAGGAAACATATATAACAAAGAGATCAGGTGAATCCGTGGAAGCAAGTTTCAATCAAGTATTGACAAGTGATGCTGCATAGAAGATACTCCACCTCCTAGAAGGGGCCGTCAATAAGAGATTGTTTTCTTGGACGAGGACGACAAAGTTGGCCAGGCCACTCATCATCCAGAGAGGACAGCAAGAAGAAATGAGTTTATTATTTTGGAACTTCTAAGTGTAAGTTGGAATAATTAGGCTTAACTTGATGGGGAAGGAATTGATATATACTCAAACTAATTAACTTTGGAGGAAGTGGAAAAAAAACAAGAGAGTTTCCTAACAATTCAAGCTTCCTCCTTGCTAATTTTTCCATACTAGGATTTGCCTGTTTTTTAAGTGGTTCACTTATTGCTGCCAAAACATTGAGACTTCACCTTCCAATAACTACTTAGTTACATGGTAGTAAAAGGTTGTCAACAATAAGTAACCAGTATCACTTTCGAGCCAAAGGAGCTTGATTAGCCCTTTTTCTAGGTATGTAGCAGTATTATATGACTCGAACAACAGATTAGGTTGTCTGTATTAACATGGAAATGTTGAGATTAGGTTGGTCAATAAGCCATGCCTTCATCATGGTAACGAAGGCAATCAATTCCTCTAACAATTTCATCACTTTGTTTTGTTCAAGAAATAACGAAGAATAATGTAATTTAACAGTCACACTACATATATGGGTTATCACTCAAACCACATAATTACCTAGGAATAACATATATAGGAATAGCTCTCCATTCCAGGAAGTGATTCTTGATGTGTATTGACAAGTCCAGCTTGATACCTGCACCCAAGTTCAACTCAAATAGAAATGCAAGTTTTCCTGTGCAAATACAGGAAATAAGCCGCGGAAGCAAATTATATTAAGTTAAGTTCATTTTTCCCTGGAAAAACGACACTGAAGAGGCGAATGGAATTTTCTGCCCCGCCAATAGTGATGCTTGATGGTCGATCGAGTTAGAGAACAAAAATGTAAGCCTTCCGAGTCAATGGAGTAAGTCTTCAGCCTGCCCTCTCGGGCAACCATATTCTAACATTATTAGCCATTATCAACAGCTGTATAACGTGGAATACTGGAAGCCTTTGAGGGCAGCTGAAAGTTTCCTCCAATCATATCTGGGAAATTAATTCTAATTGAATTGTTTTCTCGCAGCTATGCCATGGGCACTAACCATGGCTGGGCTTTTATACCTACGAAATGGTTCCCTGTTTGCACTTGATTGCTGATATAATTTGCCTTACATCACAATCTTGAATCACTTTTTCGATCACTTGCAGCTAGTGGTGGTCTTAGGCCATGTAAAACCAGGCAAAGCCAACGTGTCGTTTTGTTCCTTGTCCCAAAAGTCTATAAAGCTTAATTAAAGCTTCAAGATGATAAAGTTCATAGATCCATGTGTCTTTATTATGTGCCAAAGATCAACCTTCATCGGCTTAATCTTATGAGGGAATAAGAGAATCGACTCTTAACTCAACCAAGGGTCGAGTTAAAAAGGAATAAAAATTAACACCACTTTTACTTTTGCAGTCATTTTCTTCTGAAGTAAATCTTATATACACTAACAGTGTATACACTATCACCGTTTGATTCATGACATGTATGCAAAATTTGAATTTTAAATTCAAATTTCGCATAGTTGTCATTCATCAAACGCTGATAATGTATATACTGTCAGTGTAGGAAAGATTAATTCTTTCTTCTTTCACATTTGGTTACTTTCGAAGGAGAAATGGGAGCCCTGCCCCCATGACTCTAATTTCCTCCACAATATCACAAGGATTCAACTATGAGACTTTAATTTTGTGCGATTAGCAGTCTTCACACCCAATTATTCGTGAAACATTGCTTGGTTATATGTATCAAGAATTCGAAGGGAACGACAAACGACAACCGGTGCCAGTGCTGAACACATAAATATGGATTAATCAGTCTGGAATGCACTGAAGTATGTTAATTTAGTGGTTATGCAGCCAAATACAGTACCATTATTGTGCATATAGTTTGGTTTTGATGGTGAGGTTCCTGGACCACCATCAAAGACGCCAAAACGCACTCCCTGGTCAAGGCCGCCACCTTTTAATACTTGTAACGAGTATTCTCTATTTCTCTTTGGCTACTTGCAGATCTTCTGTGCATTGTTCTGGGTTCTTGTATAGGACACTAGACTTTACAAAAAGGCATCACTGCAAAGGCTTGGAATGTTCTTTGGGTGTCTTAATCAGCGTACTAAGCAGGATTGGGTTTATCTATACCGGCCTATGGCAGTGCATAGACATGTAACCTTTGGGAACCATTTTAATGTCAACGGGGGAAAGACATATATACTCCATAATCATGGTATCTGAATGGAATTCCCTACTCAATTACCCATGATCTTATTCTGTTTATAGTTGCGATGGCAAGTTTATGGTCTAAATTAAGTTAAACGCACGAGCTAAAAACAGAAGGGTATGGATTCTATAAACTAACACAAAACTGTCCATGATCTCTTGAGTGTCATGAAGTGCCAATATATATATTCTATTCCTTGTTCTATGCTGGATAGGATAAGTAGAGAATCATGCATGACAGTTAAATGAATATAGAAAATTGACAAACAGACGAAGTGGCCAGTGTGGACAGAGGGGATTGACACCTCTAAACTTATTAGTACATAAATTTCGTACAAAATGCGTGTAAAGGTATATTGATCATGTCTTGGATTAGGTTTGAATTCAGAAATGTGTCTTATGATGATTTTATATACTGCTAAGTAGGGAAAACTGTAAATGAATCTTAAAAACATGGGTGACTATATATAGCTTTGTGGATTTTTTTTTTTCCTTGAATGAAGGGAAGCTTACATTCGGTGGAAGCACAGCAGCTACCGAAACATTGCAGAAAGAAATACATTATCTATAGTCTATACTATCATCTGTCATGTACAAGAAGGCTGATTCCCATAAAAATATTTGTGGGAAAAATCCCATTCAATGATGAGGTCCCAGTTCTCTTTGGCTCTGGAGATGTCCGTCCGGGAAGCTCCAGCATGTTTCATTGCTTCAACCATGGTTTAAAATTTTGGTTAAATTTCACTTTGGACCCTTGAGCACTTTCACTTTAGTACTCCAAGTATGAAATCTGTCCCATTTTAGTTCTCAAATTTCAACTTTAGATGCCTTACCACCCAAAGTATAAAAAGTCATCCCAATGTTTCAACTATGAGCGCCACTTATGTCTTATTCCGTTAGATTTGACAATTTTATGGGATGAATTTCATATTTTAGAGTATAAAGTGTCTAAAGTTGAGATTTAAGAATTAAAATGGATGAATTGCATACCCTAGGGTAAAATTTCCAAAAAATTAAGTTGAATGGCTAAATTAGAAATGAATCTATAGTTTAAGGGTCCAAAAATATAATTCAGCCTAGAATTTTACTCATGACCTAACATTACCAAGGGCAGTCTTGAATCGACAATCCTTACCAAAATGGTAAAATATGTGATAGGGTGTTCAAACCGGGCCTCTAAAACTACTTCTTCCCCTCACTTCTTTCACCAACTTCTTCACTCTATTTCTTCACCTTCTCGAAAGGCATTTCTCTTCAAGAGGGAGACTATCATGGTCTCTCTTTCCGTGAATTCCTTTTTTATTTTATTTTTCTAATAAAAATTCACCTAAAGTATTTTTTGTTGGAGTTCTCTATTTCTCCTCTAGGAGTTCCTAATGAGTAATTTTTTTTTGCTCTCCCAGGAGTTCCTAATAATTATTATGTAATTTTTTCTTATTTATTATTAGATATGATTGTTAAATCTGAAAATTTTTAAGATCTTAAGTTTATCTCGACAGATTTCATCATCATTATTGGATCTTAAAGCAGTTAATTAGTAGATTTGATGATTGTGATATATAGAGAAGGGAATTGTAGCAATTCATCTTATTAGAAGATATTCTGAAATTTTTTTAAATATTTTTCAGATATGTTCATAATTTTTCAAATTTTTATAGGTCTGTTATTTCTTGTACATGTTTAACCTCTATTAGTGCAGTATTTGTGATGTAAATCAAATTATGCTAAACGATTTCTAATAATCTCGTTAATGAAATTTACTTTTTTTTTGAAAAAAAAATAATAAAATATGACGACATATCCTGAGATTTGGAGTAGTAGATTGAGTGACCTCTCACAACAAACTTAAAGGTAACTCGGAATCAGGAAATCAACCAAAGTTAAAACTTAAGGCACAATGAAAACTTGATTTTTTTTTTAGTTTTTTGGGTGATGTATCATGGTGACACATTAGTGAATGCATGACAGTATGAAACTCAGACCTTTCAAACTGAAAATTAGTTGGAACTCGGAAGCATACCATCCTCTAATCACCCAAAGGTAACAGCTCTCTGCATATACCAAAACTTCAAAACAAATTTCTTTGATAAAAGTGGAAGTCATGCTATTATTTTTGACCTAAGCCTTCTAAATTGACGTGCATTTTAGAGGTTTGTTTGTACATCGTAAGAGAACAAATTGGCTGCCAATCCTATTTCAGATTTCGACTAAATCAGCTCTTTACTTTAACATTGAAGTCGATGGTGACAATTCAAGCCTTGCCGACAATTTTAGTCCAATATCAGATGCAGATGAAGGGTAGATAGGGATACACAAAGACGCAATAGTAGAAACCACTAAGAAAGAAAAAGCAAAAGAACAAATTATATTCATTAGTAGCCACTCAAATCTAATCTTTATGGGGATTCTACATCAATGTTCAGGGACTGGTAGGTCCTCATCTGCAGGTGTTGCAACAATCCATTCTCCATTTTCATCAAGCACCATTCCTTTGTTCTTTTCAACCCACCAACTTTCTGGGACCAAACATTCATCCTTCAAAAATCCACAAGATTTGTTTACTAAAGCCAAGCTCCTCTTTACCTTCAGTTCAAAGTCTCCATGAGCTGCATTCCAACCAGCTACAACATGTAGCATTGCCTGCAAATTATGCCAATCACTAGGATTTTTCGAGTCTTTCAAAAACGGCGATTTTCTAGTATCGATAACTAGCTCGATTCCTGAATTATGATACCCCAGCAAATGGCTCGGATAGTGTGGGATTAAATCGATTTTGTTCCTGACATGGAGGACTTTAAGATTTGGAAATTGCTTCAATCTGTTATTGAACGTCTTGTTTCCCACCTGCGGACTACCAAAAACAATTGCTGCTACAGGGATGTCGTGAAGCCCATTTTCAACCAGATCAAAAGCAGCTAAAATTGATAAACTTGCTCCAAGACTATGCCCAGTAAAAGTAATGCTCAAATCCTCACCTTCATATAGGTTTCTCAGCTCTTCAATCTTGGCCAGGAGCTGTTCTCTGGCACTTAGATATGTGAAAGGCGATTTCGGATCACTGGAAACATAAATCTTGAGCCAACCCTGCATAACTTTTGGCATCTTCTCCTCATCATCTCCATCGCTATCACTGGTGCTTACACTCCCATCTTCCCTTTTTTTCCAAGCTTTTAGACGTAAGAGTGGCTCTGCAGACTTAAGCCCTGCACCTAACACGTTGATCCATTCGTAATTTCTTGTTGTCCCGCGAAATGCTATGTAAACTTCCCTTCGGCCTATGGCTTGGCTGTGTTCATCTGTTGTGACAGCAATGTAGCCAATCCAATTGGACTCACGGTCCCAGGATTCGCGGGACAATGAGCGGAGAAAAATCGCCTTGTGTGCACCTATTTGAGCCGTGGCATAGATGAAACCAATAACTTGGTAATTTGATCCTGATTCCAACATGACCTTTTCAAAAAATGATTTCTTGCCATACCTGCTGCTGCCGCAGAACTTGGAATTCTGATCATTGTTGAAGGCATCATAGGTTGCCTGACAAAAATCGCCACAGCGAAGAATCAGGCCCCTGAGACTACCATCCAATGGATCAAGAAGGCCTTCCCAATCGTTGCTTCCTAGCAATTCAGGCCATGCTGGTTCTCCTCCGGTCGACCCCATGTTCATAGAGGAGAAACGCTGCCTATTGCCTGAAAAAACAAATGGGAAAGCTGGTATTTTATCAGGGATTGTTCGATGGATGCCTGTGATGTTGAGAGCGTTGACTTTGGACAGGAGCCAAGTCTACCAAGATAAAGATTGGTAGATGGAAGTATATAAAACAGTATATTCCTTGTTAGGACCTTCCTTCCCTGTTTCCTACTAAATAAACCAGACAATATTTCCATATTAAAATTCATAAATTAAAGGATGATGTGGGAGAGTAATTGCAAGGAACCTGCCAGACAAGGCAGAAGTGAATAATGTGAATTGAGTGTTTTATCTTTTGAAAAACTGGTACCAAACAAATGCTTTGCGATCATCCCAACTGTAATTTTCATCGGTCAAGATTCAAGAAATAATAATATGTGAGTGCTAGAAAATTGTTTGGCGTGATAATATCATGAAGAATTTTATGGAAAATAATGTATGAGAATTGAAAATTTGACTTATAGCTATCTACATTGGCGAAAGGAAAATATCCATTGCTGGAAATAGTTAATGGGATATTAACTATTTAATGCAATAATTGAGTTCTTAGGCACGTACACGATAAGATGAATATAAAAGGATAGCAGGCCGCTGTGGAAATATACAAAAGATATCAGGTAAAATTAGAAATATAGAAAGAAAGTTGGGAATATCTTTTCACATTACTAGTTGGAAAAAAAAATGTCCCAACTATGCATTCGTCTTTTCGATCTTTTCTCTCTGTTTAAAAAATTAATATGTATCATGACATAAAAGTGATACTTACTATACATTGTAAGATGATTTTTTTTTTTTTTTTGCTGACGGAGTGGGTGTCCGAGTCAATCTTTACGGGGCCCGACTAATCCCACTCCGGCCTGGGAGAAGAGGCCCCATCCCCCAACACGATAACCACGGGACTCGAACCCGCTGAGACCAACCGAGCTGCCCATAATGGACAGGCAATTTGGTGGAAGGCAAGGGTTGAACCCCTGACCTCCCACCCCATCAAGAGAGGTGGTGGCCACTGATTCTTTTAAAAGTTAGCCTAGTTGTATAAAGATCACTCAATTTGCGAAAACAATGCAAAAGTCAATTTTACTTAAATTTTTTTTTTTTGGTGAAAAATTAGTCAAAGAATTTGATTCCCTAACTTCTTGATGGATCCCGTTGAACGGAGCTCTGAAATTGACATGACATGCCATACCACATGAAAAATGATTAGCGTGCTCAAATTTGACCAAAATATGTATGATGGACCAAAATTCTTCTCGTTTACTATTCTCTTCTCTGTAATTAAGACTGAACAAATTACTCAAAAACAGAATAATCTGATCCCTTTCCATGATTTAAACAAAAAAAAAAAAAAACACCATTAGGGGATTTACATCCTGAAGAAAATCCCTTTATCTCATATTATTCAAAACAATTTACAGTCGAGCATCAAAATAGAACTCATTGCCTTATAAGTTAAGAGCAACAGACAGCCAGAAAAGTAGTAGCAAATGTCCCGCAGGATCAAGGACGCAGCCTATACGCTCAAGCATCTTTAGGTGGTTTATCTTTCGGTGGTTCCGCTCCAACATCTTTCAATGTTGCCGCTTTGAAATGTGGCTTCCTGCATTTACAATTGATCGCTTAGAATTTCGTGTAAACCTAAGTGCTTATAATTCCCTAACATTACTTGTTCGGAAGTGGAAATTTTTGTAGAAAACCGTAACGTTTGGATTGCTATTTATAGGAATTTTTGTACAAGAATAAATTATAACGATTTGATACATGTGAGATAAAAAGATTGACTGAAAAATGCATTCGCAATAATAGTAAAACTTTTTTTGTTAAAAAAAAAAAAACAATCCAAACAGGGCAGAATTGCAGCGACTTGACAACATAAATATTAAGGGGGTCGGATTTTGTGTTGTTCCTTTCATTAATCTACTTCTTATTTTGGGGATAAAAAAAAACAAAATAAAACTAATTTAGTAGAGGAATAAATGGTCCATGCATGCTGCATACCATGCATAGACATCTCCGGCGATGGGATTAGGCACGGTGTCTTGGCGGTCAGAATCTTGGACATGAGCCACCTTCCTGAAGAAAGATTTGTTGATGAACTGATCGACATCCTCCGCCACCCGCTCCGGCTCCGCCACCTCTGGTACGGTTTCCCTTCTTGATTTCTTCACATACACATTTGGAGCCCTCTTCAGCTGATGCAATGCCGTGTATGTTCCAAAACTCGTAGACATAGCTATCAACCCAAGTGCCACGTATACTGGAACAAACTCTGCCTTCAATGGCCTGCACTTAAAACAAAATTAATCCAAAACTACTTAAAAGTAGTAAAAAGAATCATCACTTGGTTATTGTCAAAAGATTTACTGTATCCTATACAGTACATGCTATTATAACCACTACAGCTATGGTATAAATTTTTTTTTAATTCTTTTCAAATTTAAGAGGCACGAATGAAAAATGAATATTTAAACCTAGAATCTACGTCCTGAGAAGACTACAACGATACTTAGAATAAAAAATGCTGCCTTGAAGATTTCATGTATCATAACATCTTTTGAAACTTTAGTACTAGCAATTAAATGTTAGCCAACAGGTTTTTCCTTCGAAATTTGCCACAATCTACTCTAACTTCTGTCAGACCAATCCCTTGTTTTGATAACATCCGATAACCTCTTTCCCTCTAGCACAAGAAGAATGCACAAAAAGAAAACCTACCATAGTTTCATGTCTGGTTCATGGGTATGAATATCAGCTGTTGGGGCATGAGGCTTCATTTTGGGAATGGTTGATGTTGCAAAACCTGAATTTCCGCTACCAGTTCTCAAGCGACTGAAATAATATTTCAATTGAGCCTGCAAAATTGAATCGATCAAACCAGTTAATTGATGAAAAAGGTACATTCTGCACAGCCAAGATCGGCTCTGAATGAAGTAACATTACAGTTTACACACTCACCGAGGACCTCAGGGCCATGATCGCTAGCAAGTTTTTAGCAGTAACTATGCAGAAAATCTTCCGCGAATTTGCAAGCTGCTAAGAAATTACGCTCAAAATCTTGATAGATGTGCCAGAAATTATCTTCAAGTACCGACTTTATTGACATTTTTCATGTCATATAGATGGCCTATAAAATGGTACATTCATGGGCTTGGGTTGCAGCAGCTGGCAATTTGGGGCACGTGTCATAATACTAAGAGGACACCGCCGCTTCCATGTCTCTTAGCTCCGCGTCATCTTTCCAGAACTTTGGTCCGAGTTTTTCAAACGAGGATTGAGAGAAAATCGGAGTGGCGGTGGGCCTTTATATAGTAAATTCGTAAATGATTTACAAACAAGCGAAACCAGCCCCGTCATCATTTCCATAAGAGGCACACATCATCATTTTGCCAATTGCAATTTCGAATGATACATGCCTAAAGTTGAAAATGAGATAATCATTTCGCTGACAGTAGATCCGATCTTGTAGACTTAGTGGTCCAAATTTTATTGCATCTTTGATAGTTAAATTGATGAGATGATGTGACAAATTTTGAATCAATAAATTTATGACGAGGTGATTTTCGAGCAAACGAGGCGAGTCAATAGCACATGCTCACCTGCCAAAATACATAATGACCGGGGTCATATCCCCCGATCCACACTTCGATGCTAAAATCAGTTTGGGGACAGAGTGAAGGGGTGAAGAGAGAGTTGTCTAGAATGTCCGTAGTTGATTTTTCATACCTAATTTATAGATGATGGGGAGTATTTATAGAGAAGAACCTTACAGATAGAATATGATGTCTAAACCTGACTGGTTGTCAGATGGCAGTCTATGGCGGCAGGCTTAGTCGTAACCCTGACCACCAGGGCGGCAGGTAGTCATATCAACATGACGATAGTTGGCTATCTCCACCTTCGAGATGCTAGGTGTTGGGCTCATGACAGGATCTGAAATGAAGGTGAAACTGATATGATTGGCCGAGGTGATTCTCAACTCAGAACGACGAAGGCAGGGATCTTCACGGAGTAAACGAGCTTAGTTACCATCTCGGCAGAGATGATACCCACAGTCTACATAAACCGGGTTTATCCAAGCGTTTGTCTTGTAGATCTAGCGGTCCAAATTTTGCCACATCTTTAATACTCGAATTAGTGAGATGGTGTAATAAATTTTGAATCGTTAGATCTATATAGACCGAATCTATCCAAATATTTGCTTCCATGTATGGGTACCTCGACAACTCCGAGGTAAATCACATCGGTCCCTGTGTTCTCAAAAACCTTGACTGAGTCACCTTGATATCATTGATCACCTTGGCCAAACTGTCATCATTACTAATGCCTCGGTCGATGATGTGACGGATGACTGGTGACTTGATGCGATTGACAGCCACTCTATTGCTGTCCTGTTTCTGACACCGTCACCCTAGATTATCATGCAACGTCTGACAGTCAGTAGATCTCATCATTTTGCTAGAGATGCTCTTAGTATAAATACCTCCTCTTACTTAAGACAGGTATATATTCATTATTACTCGTACTACTTTACTCCTCGTCTAATACTCGATCCATATCGGATTTAAGTATCAGAGTAAGATCGGAGAACAAGACTTCGACTATTCCCTCTTGGCAGGTGAGTTCGTATACATTCGACTCGGCTCGCCCGTCCAGAATTCACCTTCTTACCATGCATTCTTATTCATTTATGCTTCTTAATATTTTTTTTGTCTCGGAAGATAATTGAGGGTTGCAACTTGCAAGTGACATCTGGAGCACACGGGATCCTCAGTGTCACTTTTCCAGTGGCAATTCAGTGCCACTTTTATATTTATGCCAAGTGTCCTATTTATTTAATTTATCATGTATTATTTATTTAAATTTTTTCTACCATCACGTGATAAGTGGGATTGGCACTGAATTTGGTACCGAGTAGTGGCACAGAGGATCTCAACTGCATCTGGAGCGCGTTCTGCGAGAATAAATGTATTTGCATGTAATCTAAGGGGTGACTCATAAATCTCACCCTTTTTATCTGTTACGGACCTCACCCCATGGGCTAATGTTGACGTGTCTCTACTGCATAAAAATTTCAACCGCGCCTTTAGATTTTGAAGCTGGCACGCTCTAAGGCGGGTTACTTTTAAATCATATTATCACGCTTTTATCGCACGGCTTAGTCGAACCGAATTCTTAAACCCAAAACCCATCGGGGAAAGTGGAACGAAGAATCAAAAGAGAGGGAAAAAAAAAATGAAAGAACCAAAATCTCAGAATCTTTGCAACTATTCCCAGCACAAACTCCAAATTCACTAGACCTATATTAATGAACTCATCGTATCTACAAAGCAAGATTGTATCCAAAATTCTGACAAGCTCCAATTCATAAATTAATGATTCCTTCACTTTCACTAGTACTAGTTTTGGTTGGCTCCATCGGAAAAATCGAAGCCCAGACTGACTTTTCCTCACTTCTAATTTTTTGTTAGTGGGGTTTGCAGGCGGATTCTTCACGGCCCAGAATATTTTTAAGTTTCTTACCCAGCTTGCTTTCACAGTTTTTCTCTTCCCATATAAATTAAGGCATTCATCCATGTACATATTCAGGAAACCTGGTCCAAAATTCGCCTGACGAATTTCAAGATTTAAAATGGTTCACAAAGTTTTTACCTGGCGTTATGGGGGCGGGAGAGTTTTTCTTTGTGGTTCCTTTAATGGGTACTTTTTTATTCCTTTCATTAAATTTCTTATCTGATTCTTTGCAGCTTAGTATCTTTTAATTCAGCAAATTTTGAGCTTTATTTCAGCAGATCTTTTAATTCAGCTTAGTATCTATTCATATAAATTTCTAGGTGGACAGAGAGGATACAGATGATTAATGTGGAGGGTTGTGCCACTGTTTTTCAGAGGATTTTGGATCTTCAACCGGGTTATTATCAGGTAAAGATTGGATTTTTACGATGTTCATCTTCATGCAGTCATGTTTGATAGGGCTAGCAGTGTTAGTTTAAGTAAAAGTAGTTAAGTGTGCTCAATCAAAGGTGGTATTTGTGATTATGTTTTCGATAGAATTGTGGACTTATAGATGAAGGATGTGCTGCAATATTTGAAATTTAGTTGGATTCACGAGAAGTAGAAAGCAGCAAGCCTGAGTTGGCCATGGTTCTGTGAATTGCACAATCTGATTTCTGCATTTTCTTCCTGGATATGGTGATAAACTTAGCTAAAATCTTTCTTCCTGGACATGCATCAGTATGTTTCTAGCAAATATACGCCTGGTGTTATTGAGAATGTGCATTAACATGTATATGTGGGAGCTCATCATAGAAATCTGCAGATTCATGGACATGTAGCACTTAAGTTAATCCTTGTCTATGTGCAAATGTGTGCATGTCTTTCTGAGCTAGTTCAAATTGGTTTGGTGATTTATCTGAACTTTCACACATACCATTATGTTCTCTAGTGACATAATACTAGGTAAATCTGTTATGTCATTACATCAGATATAATGCAGTTGTGTTAATGCAGTATAAGTACTTGGTTGATGATGTCTGGCGAGTTGACGAGGAACAGCATTGTGTTCGGGATGGGTTTGGAATGATTAACAACGTGGCTTATGTGGAGGAAACAGAAATCTTATGTCCTTCCTTTTCTGCTCAATCTTTACATCAGAATCAAGTAGTCTCTCTCTCTCTCTCTCTCTCTCTCTATGCACATACATTCATGCAAAGACTGATACAGGAATACTCAAGACTCAAAACAGGGTTTCCTGTTTCATTGACTCTTGTATGTGATCTGCTGCTTGTTTGTTTGTTAACCAACCAGGGGACACCTTCTGGTGGCTCACTTCATAAACCTGTATTTCAATTGCCAATCAACGAGATTGATGTTTTGCGTTACCGTCTGTCGCTGCATTTGTCATCATCTACAGTATATGACTTGATGCCTGACTCAGGCAAGGTTTGAAGGCCTTCTACTTCACTTATATCCAAATTTCTTTTTATTTTAATGATGTTTTAGCTATTGCCTTGTTAGTGATTACTTACGGTGGTGTCGCTTTAAAAAACAGGTTATTGCTTTGGATGTTGGAGCTGCAGTGAAGCAGGCATTCCATCTTATGTATGAAGAGGTAGAATCTCTTTGCCTTTCTCTACTCAAGTAAATTCCTGTTTATGTTATTGTATGCATAGTAGCCTATGACTAGTTAAAGAACCTATTTTATTTGGCCAGCCTTCTCTGTCACTGTTTATATTTTGGTTTGCTCTTGGAGGTTGAGTTCCTGAAAAAGAGTATCACGAATCGTAAGGTAAAAATAAAAAACACTCATCCTATTGGCAATGCTACAAGTAATGTAGTTGAGTTGTCAGAAATTTATTGGTCCTGCGGAATTTATGAAATTTGATGAATGGGCAATTTAGACCAATATTGATATTCTTATTCCAAATTAACTAAATATGGTTTCCAGATTATGGAAGTTGGTTTCTCAAAAATCAACTTTAAAGTCGATTTCTAAGAGCTGGACATTTTCCAGATTATGGAAGTTGCACAAACCGGGGACGGCATCCACGGGTTCACCACAAATTTACCATAAGTGATCCCAATAACTGTGTAATTATTGATACCAATTTCTTCCACCAATTTTCCAACACAAATGATTTGCAAAACTTCAAACCTTTCATTGGACCCAGTGATTGCAAACAATACGAGGTCAAGAGCCTACATTGCATAGTACTGTAGGCACCATTAGCGTGCAGTGGCTGGTCCAAACCCATAAATTAGGATTACAGAAAGTTTATAGGTGAATATGATTTTGGGTTTTGGCCCTTATAAATATTTTGTCGTTTGATTGTCATTGGTTTTGGACCTTAAGAGTATATTGTGGTTGATTTTCATTTTTATCGTTTGAAAGGGTAAACCAGCTGTGAAGATGCATCATTGAATCTTCATATGCTTTGGGAAGATTGGATTGGATGATGTTTGATGATGTCTAATGTGTTTGAGAATAAAGATGTGAATTTCAAAAGAAGAGAAGAAAAATAACAGTGAAGGAGGGATAGGGAGTAGTCGATTTCTTAAATTCAGTGTTTTTTTTAAAGAGAGACTTTAAACTCGCTTTCTAG